CAACTAAACAGATGACAAGATTTCTGGAACAATACCATTTGGAGAGATCAGACCAAAGTTCCACTTTGTTTGGCCATAAGCACCACATTTGGTAAAAACCAAACACAGTGTGTCAGTAAAACACCTCACACCAACAGTCGAGCACGGTGGTGGAGGAGTGAAGATCTGGGTTTGTTTTGCACTCGAAGAACCTTACAGCTATAGAGTCGACCGTGAACTCTGTTGTGCGGGGTTTTCTAGAATTAAATGCGAGGCCATCTGTCCAACTGGTCAAACTAGTCATGCAAAAGGACAATGATCATAATCACGGCAGCAAATCCACAACAGACTCTCTGAAAAAGAGACCCAGTCAGAGTCCAAACCTCAGCTTGGTCAAAATGCTGTGTTGGGACCTTAAGACAGCTGTGCATAAACAGCATTTATAAATTAACATCTGGAACAACCATACAGTGCAATGAATGAATGAAACAAGTTGCAACAAGTATTTAAAGAAACCACTCGAGCTGCAGGAAATCCACGTCTTCAACACACATCCCAACTATCTCATGCAGAGGAACTGGAGATAATTCATTTGATTCATGTAAAACTCATCGATCTTTAAAAAAATGCTGTAACCTTTTTTTTTTACTGATTTTTGTGCTCTACAGTATTTGCCACAGTTGACCAGCAGTGGCTTCTTTCCAGCTCTGGACAATAAGAGGTACTACAACAACCTGCGCAAATTCAACTATCACCTACCGAACATCTAATCCCGCTGGTCCTGATCCGAGTCCAACCATCACCAAGAGCTCAGTAACGTGACGCATACTCCAGTAGCACTTTTTAAACCCATTTAATGAAGCTCCAACCACTTTTTATGAGGTGTATCACATGAGGTGTCTCTAGTATCTCTCTCGTTGATGTCAGTCTATGCACTATTCCCAGCAGGTGATGTTGGTTTATGTATGTCGCCGTCGTTTCAGGCTGATTTTGTATAGAGACAAGAAGCAGTGAGCTGCTCCGCTCGTAGCTGCACAGTAGACTAAAGGAAAAACTACAATGTACTGCCTTGCCTGGTTTGCCAAATGTATTTTTATATAATGACGGGCTTTATAAGAGCAACTTGTTTGTTATTTTAGTAAGTTATAATGCAGGACATGAAGTTAAACTGCTCGTGAGCGTTTCAGAAAATCTTATTTATTGACATTAGGAGTAAATACAGACATTAAACATCCTTTATCCCACTTTCACAAACATTTATTAGCAGCATTCACACTGTACTCAACGTCTCTGGAATATTGGTGCTAAGGATGTTTTCAGCCATCTGTTTGTCCTCAGATATTTAATGATGAATGCCAAAATAATCTAAAAAGAAGATGTAAATTACTCTTAAAATAAACCTTTTCAATTGCTTTCTCTATGTACACACATATGGAGTTACTTTGAATAAATATCACAGTGAACTAGTGTCACCAGCGATTTCATTTGACTCTTTGTTGGACTGACAAAATGACAACTCTGTGAATGATTACGCCACACCTTCTCGTGACAAAAAACCCTCAAAACCTAAGTATAATGGATGTTGTGCTGTGTGCCATTCACACGATCAGTCCAGGTCCAGCTGTATTTCCAGATGTGGAAGTGCAGTTTGCAGCCTGTCAACTGTTGTCTGTCTGTCTTTGATTCCGGGAAGATCACTGAGAAACAGATACTCCAGTTTCCTGAGAGGAAGCATCGGCTAATTACTTCATTCGTTATAAGATTGTTTTTAAAAAAGCACCATTAAAACAAGCGGTACTTTAAATTTGTTTCCTTTGGAGCGAACAATAAACACTGACCTGAGTTTGTGCAGGGCGATAATACCCTTATCAGTCACATTTCCACACGACACCACCTCCATCATGTACAAGCTCTCCTGCAGGTTCTCTATGGAGGTCAGCCTCTCCAGACAGGCATCTTCAATGTAGATACACTTATTGAACTTGACTTCTTCCAAATGTTTCAAACCATCTAGAAAAATCAACGTTAAAAAAATGGCATCAGCACGTTTAGGAAAAGGGACTCAGGCATGCTCTCCTTTAAATATATATATACTGGAGTTCAGCAGCCAGCAAGGTCAGAGAAAGCGTGCGTGCCTGCTTGGTGTAAAATATCCCGGACACTTGCGTCACTTTTAGATAATTAGTCTAAGAGAGATGCACTTTCCCCTCGCCTTTCTTGTTAACACCACGGAAGGGAATCGCTTTCAGGTCAACCGTCGAGGTCGAAGCTAATGCAAAATTTACACTTTCTGAACTTGGCTTTAATTTTTAATTTAAACACACTCTTTACTATGTTAATCCAAAGCGAGTTCAAAGGGAAATAACCTATGTTAACATATGTCAACATCTGGATTTACTGATGTTAACAGAACATAAGTCCTAATGACTTATGTTCTGTT